TTTTTTTTTTTTTTTTTTTTTTTTAGGTTGTAAGGGTGGATAAGTAGGAGGATGCATATGAGAAATGCTGACAGCCAAACGCACTGATAAATAATCTTGGGTACATGATAACTGCACAAATTCTTCTGATAGTTTTTGGTTTTATTGCAAATTAACAGCAACAGTTTGAGGCGAAACTGTGTGAAGCAGCATTTTGAAAATTTTCAGTAGGTTTTATTTGATTTGCCTCAAACATTTTTAAAAAGGTTCATTAAAAACAATTATCACACTGTAAGGCTGGAGATGTTTTGTGCAATCCACATTAGAATATACAATGCAATGAGTTTATTCCTCATCTTTGTAACAGAGATGACTTAATAAATGAAAAAGATAAAAAACAGCTGACTAAATTAGCAAAATTCTCTTGTGTTGCTTTACAGATTCTGAATCTTTCCCACCATGTGTTCTGCAGAATTTTTTTTACTTATTTCAAACTTATTTTTCTTACTTATGAGCTTTGCTCATCTTTGTCAGTTTTCAAAGGGTCCATTTTAACACCCACTGATGATAATGAAAGGTGATAACGTGTCAGGGTTTCCGCACATCCTTAAAAAGTCTTAAAGGCATTGAATTCATTAATTCAAGAATAAGGCATTAATTAGCCTTAAATGACTTAAATCAATCTTTCAGGGGTCTTAAAAATGTTAAAACATTGTAAGGATGATTGTAGTTAATTTAAAAATATTAAAATACTTTGTAACATTGATTTATTTTTTTTAAATAATTTACTGAATGCCTCTTGTTGTTTTAAACTTATCATTTTGGTCAAATTGTTGCTGATTGTTTTTTTCTTCCACTTGTTTTTTTATTGTGAAATTGTCTGAAATTTAATTTCAAGAGGCATTAAAGAGGTCTTAAAAACTCTTACATTGAATTTGTCTTAAGCTGTCAGAACCCTGTGTGTCTACCAGTGTCTGTGTGTGTGTTTGTGTGTATCAGCACTAACTAACAAGATATCAGATATTGAACTGAAATTTGACTAGTGGCTGAGAATCTTTAACGTGCACTGCAAGTGCTAACACATCTCGTGTGATTTCACAGCCTCACATTACACTGCATTTAACATCATTTGCCAGGTTTGACCGAAAAGTTTAAAATAACACCATTTATACAAYAGGCAAAATAATTTTAGTCTAAAACACTTACAGTACGTAACATTCTTCATTCTAACTGTCTAATGAGAAGGCTGCATCAGCATGACATTTTATATTTGATAATATATAATATGATAGGAAAAAGATGTGGCCAAATATGTACAATGAAGTCACAGTAAATACATGTAAAGACACAGCAACATAGAAAGTCAGTAACTTACATTATATATGAATACTGTCTTGACAACATTTGTAAGTGGCTGACTCAGCAGCAAGTAGAGCTACAAAGCAAGACGATACTCAAAGAGTTCAGTTAAAGGCAGCATGACAAGATGAAATGATACATTTTTTTCTACAAATGGGCTTGGGTCTTATTATTCAAGCCAACAATGTTAGAATATTGTTAAATACTCCATCTGCCATGTCCTAATCACAGAAGAAGTCCATGCTCTGAAAGAGAAGTGAAAAAAAAAGTTAATCGTTCTACACTTCATAAAATATTTTAGAGGATGAACAAAGACAAGTTTCTGTAAAAACACACTCACAGTTGTTTGCATCTGAACCGTGTTGTCTGCGAATGTCTGTGTCTCCTTCACCACAGTTGCAGGAAAATATCCAATTCTACCCATCTGGTCCACATACCGATCACTGTAAACCTGCCGAAAATAAACAATTGTTTATATATATATATATATATAT